CTTCCGGGCCTTCTGCCGGTCGATTCTTCAAGAAACAGTTGCTTAGTCTTTCTTACTGGAGGCATTCGCAACACTTGCCCATACCATCACCATTATAGCACGTCAGAGAAAACTCCAAGAGAAGGACACCTCGTAATTTCGCTGATGCAGTATGGAAGAATCGCCGTTCTGTGAGTGTGACGAGCTGCAAACACTGGAAAACAGCACAGGTCAGCTCTCGGCTGTCGCATCTACACCCATCGCGTAGAAGTCAGCGTCAATCTATTTGTCACTGCGGTTGCAGTGGTGTTGCTCTAAGACCTTCATAACGGAACAATAGAAGCCATCAGTCGAAGCTGTGGCATGCGAAAGATGAAAAGATCATGGAAAGAACGCAAGTTTCTTATCACACCTCAGCGCTCGAATTAAGTTATGACAAAAATGTTATGAAAGTGCATTTAAAAAATCTGCAGCTTGACGTTAAATTGATCGAGGTAATGCCATAAATAAATCAAATGTTTATGTAAATTTTGATTTTTTTTAAAAGTAAGACATCTCACTCAGTTAATTTTCACAGTTTTCAACTACTTCAAATGTTGATGTTTAGCTTGAAAACTTTTTCCAGCTAAACGATCACTCGTACTTCATTTTCTGTGACTTTCAAACGTTAAAACAGAAACGGTGAAAATCTGGCAGGATGACATGTGCGTATGAAGCATTTATCGCACGATTTGATGGTTTCGTGACTACCAATATCACAGGTGTGCTGCTTCTGTAAATATTTGAGAATCGATTGCTACTGAAGTTTTTAGTAGTGCCGAGATTACCAGTAGTTTAAACGTTATGACGCATGTGTGCTATTTGCTGAAAGATTTAAAGTGACAGTTATCAATTTCCGTCAGTTTTTTTTGTCATCACACCACTTAAGATCACCAGAACGACTACTATTAATACGGCCACCAGTCGCCACTGAGCTATCATACAGTTGTAGGCTTTTTGTGATCTCCTTGTCGTCAGTGAAAGGCAGCAGCTAACGACGTGTCATCCTCACCACCCTCACGAAGCGAAAACATGGTAATGTGCATTAAAATTGTTCTTCTTATAGCCTGTGCTGTCTGCATACTAATGCCCGTGGCAGCGGAACTAACGAAGAAGGTGAGAATAAATCACGTGCAGACATTCGCAGGTTTTGTTTGAAAAAATTTCGCTTTGCAGGAGGTGGCGACAGCTTTGCAAGAAATGGACGCAAAATTCGTCTTCTACACAAATAAAGTTTCCTATTCGTTCAATCTATGGGACTTCAGTCGTCAACCGGCTCGATATAATATCAGTTCGGCAAAGTCGCTGCATGTGATCGTTCATGGATTTGGTCCTTTCCCCGAGTGGGTGGTTAGCTTGTCAAAAGCACTTTTCAAAAAGGTAAATCTGTGTGTTGCGTAATTAACGTTTTAAGCCGATGTTTAGGGTAAGAATGCAGCGTACATCGACTGGCGTCGCGGTTCGAAGATGCCCAATTACTTGGTGGCCGCGAAGAACACGTACTTCGTTGGTCGTGGTATAGCTGAATTCCTTAAAGCAAATGGCGTGTCAATGAACACTTCGACGTGCGTCGGCTTCAGTCTTGGTGCCCACGTATGTGGTTTCGCCGGCGCTTCCCTCGGCAATCTGTTCCAAATCGTAGGTAAGGGCATTTTTCTCATATTCAGAAATGTAGGCGCAGATGCCCCTCGCTTTACGATGGTTAGACTTACGGTATTTTGATTTTACATTGGTTCGATAGAAATGTACCCGCAGTCTCCGTAGCGATCGCGAGCGTTGACATGCGGTAACGGTACGATCATGATTCTTCAAATTTGAAACGAGTACAGGACACTCTTGCATGCTGCAAAGAATTTTGTAATGAACAGAAGAAACGAACTGTCCTAAAGAAAGTTTCATATCTTTCTGAAGAAAGTAATCGCCTGATTCTGAACCATCAACAAATATCAAATGTCAGAAATTGATGACCCTGTCGCTGTAGCCTCCTCCTTGGCATGATCTTCCAGTTAATGTCAACTATTTAGTTAGTTACAGAAATCATTCATTTATTTACTTATTAGATTATAGCGGTTATTTACTTATTTATTTATCATATCATATTCATATTCGACTTGCGACTTGTTCAACTTGCGCAGGGACGTAATCCGATCGAGGAGCATCTGTACAGTTATACTGCCAATAAGTGACCCACTTAATCTACATCTACAGGATCGTAATCGCAGTCTGATTCGTTCTGAAACTTTATTTTTGGGGTAGAAAGAGGTTGAGTAACTGATTCGACGTCAACCATGATGGAATATTTTTATTTTTCCAACCTATTTCAACAAGTAATGCACTAAGTGTATCTTAGTAAAAGAATCGAGAAATGTGCAGAATGCAGATGAATAAGGTGGCCAGCTTCTTCATCATTTACTCGTAGTTCTCTTGAACAAGAAGTTTTTCTCTTATGCTTCCGTGCTAAGAAAGTTCCTGAATTACTGGCGAAAGCTATTGTAGTTTGATATTTGAGATGTTTCATGAGTCCAAACAACTACTACTTGGCATAAGTCTATTATCTTTTCTATCAGTAAATAGATGTCTATTTCAGATTTCACAATATACACATGTTGGGTGACGAGCAATCCTTCCTACTGCAGTACAGGCAGAGCGTGTCTGGATCAGTTAAATTACATATGGTATAGAAAAGATAATAGAGATCCACATTCTGGTCTACTTTTGTTGATTTTAATAACGCCTTTGACTCGGTTTGGAAAGATGCGCTGTGGAAAATTAGAGAACAGTTTGAATATGCTGTTCGCAGTGATAGCAGGTTCAGCAAATTCGTTCGTACAAAGTTAGAGTAAAATCACCTCTGCTATTAGCAGTGTGTCTCCTTCGTATGTTGCAAATAATATGACACAATAAGTTTGTGACTGCGGCTTGAAGATGCAACGTCTGTATAAAATCGTATGTATAGGGGTGATATCGCGTTCCTAACAGACAGCTTTGAAGCTAAGACATTATGGTTTCTGTCTCCGAAAGAGTGGTGTTCTGAACAATGTCTTTCTCTCAGTTTAAAGAAAATATGGTTTACAAAAATTGGCATAAACGAGACCAAATATGTCATACCGTTAACAGCAAAGAAGCTATTGGAAAGCAAAAGGAATTTCTCTAATTTTCAGATAAGCTGATGCGTCATGAAAGTGTAAGGAAGACAGAAACGTAAAAGCTTAACGTTTTTTCCATGTTCTGAGGATGAAAAATGTCATTTGTCTGAAATGTTGACAGTGAAGTTAGAACTTTAACATGAATCTTCCTCATGGCAGATGACTTAGCTAATTTTAGTGCCAAGCAACATTGAAACATGTTAAATTTTTAATGTTTAAACAACATAGAACAGATTTTAATATCAAAACTCTTATTAATATGAGCAAGAGATAGTTTCAGCACGTCCGGGTTCATGATACCTGTACTCAATTACTCACTTGGTCAGGCTGGCATGCAGGCAGTCAGTTTTTGATAACCGCTTATTCTTTTGGGTGGCGGAGGCAGCAGCGTCAGATAGCATCTCAAATGTTCCTGATGCTCTGTACATTAGGACTTCTTCACTAAATGCGTTTGTGTTGTTTTAAGGCTACAGCAATTCTTCTTCATAATAAACAATTATTTACAGACTGTCTTTGCTCACTGCATATTTTTCAAGCATATTACAGTTATGAATTCATATTAAAAATACATTAATAGGTACATGCCTACTCCAAAATGTTCAGATCTATGAAACCGTGACCTGCATAAATGACCCGTAAGATATGAGAGCTAAACGATATTGCCGTGCGTTGCGAATTCCGGCATTGAAAATATTTTACGCTCAATAAAATCTTCAATGAACCAAACAAAGCGTTTAAAGGTTTCTGATAACGTCATTAAATAGGTGTTCAATGAAACATTAGTTTAAAACATGAGCGACCACATTGTGTCTTACAGCAACATTATTACATGACAAAATCGCCATCCATCAAAGCGACGAGATGTCTCTTGGCTTAGTTAAAACAGGGCTCTGCCATCCGCATACTTCAGTGATATGCGCATTAAAAACCGAATTGTTTAACTACGACGAGAGCACCTAGCTTCCTTAGTGTTTTAATCTGATATTCTTCGATTTCGATTTTGAACTTGTTTTTGCATCTCCTTACACTGGCAGCTGCATTCTCACAAATCATTGTGACGTTATCTCTGTATTTTTTCTTGATTCCCTGAATCTTCAAGTAATCTAGCACAAAATGGATTTGCACCTAGTCGAAAGCCTTCTCTAAAGCGTTGAAACCCGATCCGAGAGGAAGCTAATGTTCGTTGCTTGTCTGAATTATTGTTGCTAAATCCAATTCTGAACGCTGATGGCTCCTTTGGATGCGCAGCGTCCAGCTTTTTTAGAAGTGTGATCCTTAGTACCTTTGTGAAAATCTTGTAGATTGTTGACGACAAATAATTCTTGATTAGCTAATGATTTGAAACTACTTCTGTAACCAATCGAAATTTTTCATTTGGATCGTCAAAAATTTTGTCTGTCAAGTTTTAAACTTACCATTAGTTTACAACAGCATAATTGCTTAAAAATTCTGTAAGTCTTTGGAAAAGTGTCTGCTTAGAATCACCGAAACAAATTAATGGTTGAATTAATTTATTTCAGGTCTGGACCCAGCTGGTCCTTTGTTCAGCGGAAAGCCTCCAAATCAGCGTTTAGACAAGACCGATGCCGCCATCGTTCGCTGCATCCATACCAGTGACTTTTTTGGAACATACCAAGCTATGGGAGATATTGACTTTTTCGCAAACGGTGGAGATGATCAAAAATCATGCACCAGCGACGATAGCCCTAGAATTCTATCCGTAATAGAAAATGGTCAGCGACCTGACTTCTTTCACTGAAACCTATTTACGATGTTGATTTTATAGAGGGTAGTGCTAATGGCCTGAAAGATCTCATCTGCAGTCACAGCCTGGCCCATATAGTCTACACGCAATCTGTAAAGCTTTACGGACAGTCAGACGCTTCGTGCAACTTTACTTCGGTGCCTTGTGGTTCTAAGCAGGACTTTATGGATGGACGTTGTTTTCTATGTGGCTCTCCAACGAAACTTCCGGTCGCCGGCTATAACGAACACTTTACAGACATTAAATACAGAGGTTCTTACTATTTCGATACGGTCAAAGACCTGGAGAATACGGATGATATTTGTGGTACGTAATAATCATCATCTAATATACTAATTAATATTATTACGCACTGTAAAAAAGTCTAAGAGCGATAACCAAATAAAGCCTCGTTAGTTTCCGGGTATAAAATATTTTTTCAAGCAAGTTTTGCGTTACGATGGTGCAGGAGTATGAAATATGAAATTCTGGTAGCCAATTTTTGATTCCGCCTATCTTCCTGAGTTGGTAAAGATGAAAAGGGTGTTGCGTCGGTAGAAATTGACACACATGATTATGAACTTGCTTCAGGTCATTTTGAACTTTGCCGACGGTCTTGTGTCCATCAGCTGAGCGATGAATGACTGCTTTGTCATAATGGAATTCGCAGAGCATGTTCGCACGATCTAAACTATGATCTTACAGTTATAAGAAGTAGCAGCTCGATTCCCATATTCGTTAAACTGCAAACTTTGCTGAGTTGTGCAAACCCTGCTGTTTCGCATGTCCTTCGCCTGCGAGTATTTATTTCGTTTATTCAATACTATTGTTGAGTAAAGTCAAATTAATATTACTACATATTAATCTGCATGCAGGCGCCGAATACTTCTAACATTTACCATTTACGTTCACTCTTGTACTATGGCTGTCTCCATTGCTGTGATATTCATTCAGATAAATTTTGACCTAATTTCATAAATGAAAGAATGCGTTGATGCAAGCTTGGTATATGATAGTACAACTCATAGCAAACCACCCTGGGAGTCCATTCGGTCCGGGACTACATGTTTGGCATCCTGAAGATTAGTTGCAGATAGTACTGTCTGGAAACAACTTCATTTACAAGCCAAATTCGTACACACGTGAACGTCGTTTGAAGTTGGCACAAAGTCTAGCTCTTTACAGTTCTTTTATAGATGCTAGGGCTAATCTGCTGCACCCGCCAGAGCTTGACCCGTGGCTCTTGTCATGTCTGAAATACGCTCTCTTTACGAAGAACTTTACACGCTGGGAACTCTCGACTAAGCCATTTGATGGCTGACCGTGCAAGGAGTGCCAGTTCCTAAAACGTCGTTCGTTATGTGCGCGAAGTGACTCTAGCGGACAAAGTAATTTGTGATGTATGTGGTACTCTGGGTGCCCAAACGCTATGTAGCAACGGCCTACTTAAGTAGCCCCATTCCAAAGAACTAGGAGAAAAAAGACAGTATATTAAATCATGAAATCTTGTTTGGATGAGTCATTTGTTATTTTACTTGCTTTTCATGATATTGACGCCATCATGAGTGTCAACGATGTGCATATTCAGTTGCAGGAAGTACCTACCGCTGGATATTTTGTTGATTTATTTACTCTTTCCATGGCAGACGGTGGAATTTTTCGGAAGACCAAGCGTGACAGAAGAAGCCGGAGCAAACTTCTGCTATAGGAACAGCCTCAAAAAGCCTGCATTGCCCTGCGATTATTTTCACCAATTACGGGCCATCCCCCCCAAAGTTTCACGAGTTTAAAACACGTATCGCTGTGCCGCTTTTCATCAAGACTCGCGTCCTTAACTTTCAAGAAACTTGACTAAATCACAGGGATAGTGAAATCATCCTCGGTTTAATAGACTTTGTTTGTTATCGTCTTGATGGTAAATGGAAACTTTGGTCCACTTTGTACAAATCTACTTCTACACTGTTTGTTTAGTATTGTTCATTGGTTAGATCAAGGTTGTGTCAACTTATGGTGTGCCTTACGGTTTACTTAAATAAATTTTACCGACTGAAAACTGAGCATGAATTCATGAAGTGATTAAGTAGAACCAATGGTAAACTGTTTTGGGTTATGAAGGAAATGTCGAACGGTATGTTAGATTATTTTTCTTAAAATACCGTCGTGGACGATAAAGACCGGCCAAAAATATGCGATCAAAGAATCAATCTGCGGAAAGGAGATCGCTGACATAACACGGCAACTCAGCATGGTTTGCAACAGGGGAATCCAGAAATCTTCGCTCGTGGATTGTCCCTTTACATGAAAAGAATCACAGTTGTGGCCAAGATACTAGTGGAGAGACTTAAAGAATATGGACTCCCGTTGCAAAACCGTGTGGCAAGTGGCTAAAGGCCTTACATGGAGCAGATGGTTCAGTTGTTCAGAGCATCGTCCATTTTTGCACATTGAAATGAAGTGCCTTAAGATTGTTCATCTGGCAGAGGACCGGGAACATTGGAAAATTCATGCACGTTGTTGCCACCGACTCGAGATGAACAGCAGACTTTGAAAACGAATAAGCGTGTATACTATTAATGAATAGAGTGGTATATTATGGTGAGTGATTGTTGTTTAATAATTAATTGATTACTGATTATATTTATTTCTCTAATATCTTACCTTTTTCATTAACAGTAGTGATACCGGATTGTACCGGCGAAAAGTACAGTGTAAAGAAGGAAAATGTATTTCTTACTCTACACCAACACTGCGATAGTAGAAGTTATATATGGCAGTCTTAGGGCAGTACTGCACCGCCTCTTTGCTTTTAGTCTCCTAGGGGGCTATTTAAACAGGCCACGTCTCCTTGGTATTTAAGCGTCTGCAGTGCATAGAACGCATGACCGCGTCTTTTTTTGGTTGAACAAGGGTATGTTCAAGCCGAAACACGTTAGCATGCGCTAATGCATATTGGCATGCATTGCAGGAACTTAAATACCATGGAGCAGTGACTTTCTTAAAGGGCTCCCTAGGCAGCTAGAAGCAAGAGGGCGGAACAATACTACCGTAAGATTTCCATCTATCTTATTCTACCGCAGTGTCAGTGTAAAGTAAAAAATGTATTTTCTTTTTTACGCTGTAAATTTTCGCTGTTTCAGTCCAGTATCGCTGTTGTCAGTGTCTTTTATACAACGATGGAATAGAAAGCTCCCCTTTGTGGAAACTACTCCAGGAAGCTGAGTCTGTTTTATTCTGATCTTGCCTTTTTGTACTTACTTTGCATGGAATTTATGTATTTATGTTTGTTATTGTTTATAGAAATCCATTTTTTTCATATTTTAGGACGAATGTTAGCTATTGAATTGCAGTCTTTGAAAAATATTAAAGGTTCCATAACGTTGCAAATTTACGGAGAAGGAGATGCTTCGCACAAAGTCGTTTTCCAGCGGTAAGCTAATGAGCAGTCTATTCTTAAGTACAATACTATCTTTTTCAGAGAATCAGAGGTATTGCCAGCAGGAACTCCAAAGAGAGTCATCGCAGCGATTCCATACAAAATCAATCAGCCCACGAAAGTAAGAGTGGTTTACCAAAGGTATCATCGCTGGTGGTCGCTGAATGCTGGACCTAAAGTATGGACGCTGAATAAAATCAGCTTCCTAAATCTGGACTGCAAAACGTAAGTTGAATCAGTATTTACTTTGCTGTCCGTATAATCTGCTATATATATAGATTCACTAGCCCATTTATCTTGCTGATCACCGGTTAAGTTATAGTCAGGTTTTAATAATCTACAATTAGCCATGAAACTGGATTTGATCTTCAACAGAAAATTCTAAGATTTTCGCCAAACCAAAGAATGGAACAGAATGAAGGGAACAAACCGCATCATATCCGGAATTTTAGTGATATCCTATGCATCTATCTACATATAGCTGCTCCTACTGCGGTTCCAGAGTTGTGGACTCGAAATCGATCCATTAATATGCTTTCGAAAAATATCAAAACGTATATTCATACACAGCAGTATGCCTCTAGTTATGTCATGTTCGCTGCTACAATAGACAGTAAGTATCTACTCTTACTAGGTGCGATCTCACTGGTAGAATGAAATGACACTGGAACAGTCATATTTGGTGATGGCATTTGCAACAAGTGACAGAAGAATGCAGTTTGACGCTGGACATGTAGCATGCACTTTTAACGAACAACTGCATATAATGAAACAGGTCGTTGAGAATGTTACTAGTGAACTGTTCGACTGTGGCTTCTGTTTCATAAGCCCCGATCAATGCCTCGCATTAAGAACGTAGATTGGCATAGAAACAAAGCACGATGTATTCTGGGCCTGATGCCTTTTCTGCTGGTATGTCGGTGTTCAGTCAAGATCCCTGGAACATGGTCTTGAATATGCGCTATCATTTATTTCCTCGTAACAGTCTAATGAAACCATGAGACTTCTGAGCCAACGATAGGTACTTAATGCAAATCACAGTGGGAAAACTATTTGGCAACTGCCTTAAGTCTCAACAACTGACTCCCGTCTTCGTATTCCCTGATTTGGTAATCGTTGTTTTGTAATTTTCAGTGATGTCCAAAGATTAACGATTGCGTTGATTAGTCGTACGTACCTGAGCCCGCTTTGCAGCCATAGGCCAAAGGCCCATAGTCCATACATTTAGACTGTTTCAAGCAGATGGCCATTGATATCAAAATATGGTTTCAAACAGTTAAAGGAGTAATTTATGAGCCGCGTGGCTGGTAACAGTACCTAACGTTGTTACAGAAGTGATGAGCCTAATCGCATGCCCTTGAAGTTATAATGAAGACGCAAAAGCGTTTTATTTCTCGTCAGGAGTTCATCTCCGCTGCTCGAACCAGAACCATTCTAACAGTGGTACAGAGTATAGTCTAGTATTCTTCGGTCTTGCAGGAAATTAGGATAAAGGTGGAAAGTTAGTTTTTCCTTGAACTATTTGAAAGGAAAAATTAAAACAGATGCGGTTGCATCCTTCACTCGTCTCAGATACCAAGGTCAGGAATAATTCTTTACCCTTGTTTAGTTCGGCAATCACAATGGTCCTTCACCATCGCTGTGTCGGTGAAGGCGAACGTAATTCAGAGTACTTAGATGCGATAGAAATCTTTAGTTTTCGTTCATCGCCACGGGAGGGGGCAAATGCCTCATTTTCAAAAAGGTATCTGGAAAAAATGCAAGAAAAAATGGTTTTCTGTGAGGCCACCGGAGATTCGCTTGTTCAGCGTTCACCTGAATGTATACTGAATAGAACAGACCTGTATGGAAGCAGTTGTCCCCATTGCTTTAAATCGCTCTATTATTGCAATAATGTTTCCACCCTTCTCGCCACTTACAGTGCTTGTTTGCATTTTGTGCGCCTGTAAAATTCCTTGTTGAAATCCCTTTAGCACGAATGTCGTTCGGGATAGGGGGGATTTGAACGTGACAGTTGCTGCTGATCAGGTCAGGTTTCGTGCAACGGCACGTATGATTATTCGACGCTATCCGTAACATGAACTAGAGAAGAAATGATACACAGTTTGACTATGATGTAGCTTTTTAAGGGCGCACAACAGGATGCACATGACGATACGCCGAAAATTAACATTGGTCAATTAGCTACTCTGCTGTCTAGGTTAATCACAACAACATATATGCCTGACGCCGACTAACATTCCACCTACAAACCAGTTTACGTGCTAAATGGCAAATTCATGATAAACTTATTTTAGTAGTACGGTTTGTCGCTTACAAATTTATATTGATTGTTGTAATACGTTAACCTATGATTTTAGTTATAAAAGCGCGACCCCGAAATTAATAAGGGATAGAGTGGCTGCTACAATCAACCTCTCCTAACCGGTGACCGCCTTACGAACTACTTGGATATCGTATCATAGTACAGATTTTGTAACTGCTTGTTTTAGTCATAAGTAAAAAAATGCTGGTAGGCTGTAGTCTTGCGTTATTTCTATGGTTCGGTTTTCGTTTTGTTACGTAATTGAATTCTACATTTTCAAAATTAAATTTATTGATATTTTTGTGATTGTTTTCACTGCGTGCCAGTCTCCTTATTTTTCAAAATATTTTTTTGTCGTCTGAGTATCTCCTTAATAATTCGTTTATATGCTAGCATTTTTCCGGCAAGATTGTCGCTGTAATCCCTTTTCCATGGCTTTCCATCTCCACGCTGAATCTTTTAGTCTTACGATGCGATCTTTGCAGATTCAGTTAACCCTAGTTGACGCTGTTCGTTAAAACTGTGGTCAGTCTATATTTGTCTGGAATCTGAGCTGTATCCCTGACATGATGCAAATTACCGAGTGTGAATTTCTTATGTCAGCGAAATTGACCATAGCTAAATATTATGAAAGGATTCCGAAATTTATATACGATAGAAGAATCTCCCGTGTTTAACCAGTTAGACCTTCAAAATGAAAATTAATGAATTGGAATATTGCTTATACCAAACTCCATCTCTATCTATACAGAGAATCTCAATTCTGCACATCAGGGAAGTCTGTTCATTAGGAGTAATTTTGTTTGAGGAGCAGGTACATATTAAACTCAATTTAGTACAGTTCTCTAGAATATGATTGCAGGCGGATTTTGCCAATCCTTTCCTTCAGTTGCCTGTAAAGGGATCTGAAAAATTGTCACCACAGCAATCCTTTTACGCTATGGATGATGAAAATGTTATGTGATGATTGTGCTGCTTATTAACAAGTAAGGATAAGATACGCATTTATCAACGAGGTTCGACAACTGGCATGCGAAAGTGAAGATTTATTTCCCAGTATTTACTGCAAACTAAACTGCATGTGTTTTAAATCTTGCTTGGTATACCATCAGGAATAAACACTGCAGTACGCAAAATGAATGAAACCAATACAGTATAAAAAGTAATGTCGATATGGAACATCATAAATTTGTGATGCGGGAATGTCCTCTGGGAATGATTGCTTTCCTTTCGCTTCAGTACCGGACGTCATCCGAGTATTGTTCTCGCTAGAAGAATTTGAAGTAGCTCTGCTAATTACTTTGGACATTGATACTCGGGAAAGTGCTTGCCAAGATGCAATCTTGCTAAGTTCGACCTTCTCCAAAGGAATGCACGACAACTTTCCGGTATCACAAAATTTGCTATGGTTCATATTTATTACGATGTTGAAAAATGGCTTAAAACGGCTTACCATAGAAACAGCGCAGGAGTTAGGTGTCCGACCAATATTGACTTTGGGACCGACATTTCACGGCGTATGCTCAACGTAAGAAGTAGATAGAGTTCCGAGATCCTTCCATTCGTTTGCCGTTCGTTCTGATTTTTGAGTCAAGTCATATTCAACAATTCAGTAAGGATGGCAAAAAATGTGTTGTCGAAGGGACAGATTTGGTCAGTTTGTAAAGCCCACTGTCGAAGGAAAAACAAGGCATGAGAAATAGCGAGAGTTTGCTGAATAACATGCAATACTGCTAGTGGTATAAAGTAAGAAATAGATTTTACTTTCCTTACACTCCGTTTTTGCCGTTTCATTCCAGTATCATTATCATGTTTGATGTGATATATTCAACGGCGGTATCGAAAGCGCCGCCTGAACGTCAAGGTTATATTTTGTCATTCATTCGCTATTTGACCGAATATGCCATTGTTCAATCCAAATTTGATACGCGGTCTTTAGTCTTATTCAATGCAGGCGTTTAAATGCCATTAATAGCCCCATTTATTTTTTAATCTTTAAATTCGGAATCATAATTATTTTAATTTGTTGAGTAATATTTATATATGAAATCATCGCATTGAAGACTTTTCCGACGAAGAACTTTTCTCTTGAAGAAAGAATTTAACTAAATTTTCAAATATTTCCAAATTTTCAAACCAGCATCAGTTGATATTTCAACCAAAATTAACGAAGCAAACTATGTGAATCATATAAATTAAGACCACCCGATCGAATCGGCTTCTCGTCAGAAAAAAATGTAAAACAAGATCTGATTTGGCATACGCGATATTATATATTATAAACAGAATAAATATTATAACTTACTAGCATTCTGAAATTAAAAGCTTGAATCAATGACTTAACTGTCATGGAGAAGTCCAAGATTTTTGGCGAATAATCGAAAACAACAACGGGATGTTACGATTTAG